TTTTTTACATTGTGGGGTTCCCAGAATTCCACCGTAAAAAAAACGCCACATGTGCAGCCTGTCGCAGCACCTTATGCACCTCTAGATGTCTGTAACTCGGTGCGGATCGCGCGCACCGCCGTTCACACAAACAGGACGATCTGGAAGATGGTCTTCCAGGCGGCTACAAAGTGAACCCTTAACTAGAAACGCTATGCTGCTGTCTTGGCTCAAAAACGCACTCAACCCGAACTGTAAAAAGCACAACAGTAACTTAGCCTTCAATCCCTGACATCACCGCTGTACCACCGACAGAGAGAAAAGGGGTTGTGAGCTCAGCGGCTCGGTTGATACAATCAGCGTACCTGTAACTCGTCTGGCTCCTTTGCTCATTCGGTCCGGTTCATCTCCAAGACTGGGAACAAAATATGCGTCCAGTTTTGGGCTTTTCTTTGCTCTCTTTTTTCCATCCTTTTCACTTTGCCGCTTCTTCATGGAGCTCCACTCACGTTAACTTAGTCGGCTGGTGACAAGCTTTACCCAGAATGCACTTTGAGACAATAAAGACGATCTACTGTAATGTAAGAGTGAAAATGAAGCCAGTCATGTAGTACATTTTATTCAATATTTTACACCCACTATGTCACTAAAATCAGTCGGTCTTGTAAAGTTTTTAGCAACCTTGAGTCAACAATGACTGGAGTCAGCCTACTATATAATCTACTGGGGCACTACCCCATATAATCCTACATACATCATACTCAACAGGAGAAGGCCTTCTTTCTCCAGCTCTTAACAGTGACCACAAAGGACTGGATCCCTGAAGTCATATGCTGCCTCCCATCCGGGCCCCCCACTAGGCTGCCCGCTGCCCCCCCATAGCTCCGCCTCTGCTGTTGACCAAAACTCCCAGTATTATCTAAAATACAGTAAATGTCTGTCAACTACAGCTGCCAGTATCTTACCGTATTTTCTAAAATACGGTAAGATACCGGGAGTTGTGGTTTTCCCTTAATAAAATTGGCCATATCCTTTTGATAAATTAAAGATGCTGACGGTAGTAAAAAAGTAGGTGGAATTGCCCTTTACCCAACTTCACCTTGGTCCAAGCAGCAGGGCCTATCATACAGTTCTCTAAATGTGACAAATCTATGGTCGACCTAAAATTAAATAATCCCAAATACATCGTTTAATTAAATTCTCTCATAATGATGGTGACGTCGGCTGTAGGAGTTTGCCCTGCAATTGATAAATTGCCAGTTCGATACCTGGTCTTCCTTTGAGATTTCAGTTTGATATATTCAAAGTCATTATA